CGGCAACCTAGGTACATGCCCACCACCCTCTGGTGCACAGACCAACACTAAGCACTGAGCCACACCTGCCAGGGCATATTTTTGTTCTTAATGAAATAATAAACATTTCTAAAATGTGTCAGTATTAATTTCTAATTATGTATTTTATATATATTTATATATGCATGCCACGGTGCCTTGTGTGAGTGTATTTGCTCTTTGGAGCCTTTAATAACTGTTATTAAAGAGGTCCTGAGACATGAAGTTTGAGAACTAGTGCACTAAATAAGACCCTGTCAGTTTTTGACATTACATTTATCTTCTCCAGGGCTGTCACCTGTCTATTAACTTTTACCTGCGATGTACTTGGCTAAACAGAAATCTTTAATTAATTTTTTTTGGAGCCAATTCCCTTCACAATTTGTGCTTTTCTGGTCTTCTTAAAACAATCGCTTCTTCAAGTTTGATGTCACAAAAATATGTTTCTACATTTTTTTCTATTAGATGAATAGTGTGACTTTTCACATTTGGCCTTAGGTACATTCCAATCCAACTTCATTTCTCTCCATATAGAGAATCAATTTCCCCCCATATGGAGAACTAATTTTCCCAACACCATTTACTAAATAATCTCCCCTTTCCTCACTGACTTGTAATGCTGCCTCACATATGAATATATATTAATATATAGACTCTTCCTAGATCTCCCTTCCAATTCCACATGGATATTTACCTGTCTCTGCTAGTACCACATTTTCCATTAAAATGATCATCTAGTCTTAATATATGGCAAAATTCCTCCCATTGTTTATATCTTTCCAGTATTCCTTTAGCTACTTATTAATGAAAGTTTATTTTTCAATGTATAATTTAAAATAAAAAAGGATAGATTTATTTTTTAGAATAAATTTATTAAGATACAGAATAATATATCCTTCTAGATTTTGATGAAAACTGCACATAATTTGCAAATAAAATTGAGGAAACAAACTTATCATGCTGTCTTAGCCATTAAAATTATACTTGTCTGCTGTTATGTCTTTTAGTTAAAAATATTCTCATAAGATCATAAGAATTGTTTATTAGGATAATTTCTGGATACTTTATCATTACTTTTGCTATTATAAATAACACCTCATTATTGATGTATTATTTGCCCTTTACAGTGGTATAAACAGAGATATGCAACACACATTGTTCTGTTGCTAAAGTCAGTGCTCTTTCCACATAATTTCTAGACAATTGTAGAATCACTTCTTTGATACCACACCAAAACTTGACAAGCAGTAATTTTTAAATTCTTATGCCAAGATCTCTGTGTCTCTCTTTCGTTCTCTCTTTTCCTCACTTTCTCCCTCGCCCCCTCCCTTCATTCTTGTCTTTTGTTTAACAACTGAATAGTATTTTATTTTCTGGACTCTTCTATAATGAAATGACTTAGACCCCTACTGATATGCATTGTAAATTATTGAAACTGTGTTCTATTATAGAGAGTACTCTGGGAAACAACTTCATATCTACACCAGTTTGCCTGTGTGTGGTTATACTTGTAGGCTACACTTCTAGAAAGAAACTGCTGAGCTTAAGAAAATGTGTATTTGTCATTTTTTTTCATGTCACTAAATTGTTCTTCATAAAAGATTGTTTGATTTATACTCCCACCAAGAATTGTCAAGCTTTCCTGTTTCTTTATACTTTTGCTAATATCATATAATCAATTTTGAGGGGGCTTTTTGATTATGTGAAAGGTGACTTATTGTATCTTGGGGGTAGATTTAACTTAATTTGTATTATGAGTAAGATTAAGTATCTTTTCATATGTTTAAGATCAATATATATTTTCTTTGATGTCAACTAATGAAATTCTTTATCTGTTTTTTTTCTGTTGGGTTGTTTTAGCTATTAATAATATTTAAGATCTAATTTCTTTGATTAATCAATTACTTTTATGATATGATTTGGAAAATATTAATCCCAGTTTGTTATTTGTATTTTGGCTTTCTTTTGCTTTTTATTTTAAAGAAATTTTTAATTTAATATGATATTTAAAACTAATGCCATGATTAGAAAATCATTTTCACCTCTGAGATTATTTCTAATTCTAATTTTCTTTCTGGTCCTTTTGTGGTTTCTTTTTATTTATTTATTTAAGTATTTACCTGAAATTTACTCTGGGATAAAAAGATAAATATTGATCTATATTTATTTAATATTTCTACCAAATTGTTCCAATCCAGTTATTGAATATTCTATCTTTTCCCTACTGGTTTGAATATAATTTATTTTATATACAATATTTCCTTACATAGTGAGGTTTATTTATTGATTTTTTATTCTGTTTTATTGCTGCAACTTTAACATAGTGTCTGGGATGTTTCATAAAAGCAAAATAAACAGGATAAAAACAGATGACCTTTTAGCAAATGTTGTTTTACCAAGAGATCATAAAACAATGTTGGAGTGGGATAAAAGGGAATTACTTGCAGCAGGTCTTGTGGTGGAGATGCTTCCAAAAGTATTCTATGGCCTTCTTCCGTGGCTTAAATTTCTCATAGCAATATAGATTTCTGGTATTAAATTTGAGTATGACCATGATGATGAAATTTTAGCCCTTTTATATTGAATTATTTATTATTCAAGCTTAGTAGTACTAGATGCATGAACTCAAAAGTCCCCAAACCTAGTAACTGTTAATAATTCCAGAACCTGTATCCTATAAATCAGTTTTGAAAATTCTTATATTTTGACTGTTATGCTTCTGTAATTTAAGCTAAAGAGAATTAGTCTATGGTTCATCAGCTAAGACTCTAGCAGAGATAATTGGGCCATCCATAAGAGAAATAAACAAGATAACTGAAAGGAGATAAAAGATAATTGAAAAAGGAATGTTCAGCAATGTCAGATATGGAATTTGACTTCTGAAATGGGAGGAAAATTATTCAAACTATCCACTGTTTATGTTATATATATTAGAAAATTTCAGATTGTGAACAGTCTCATTAAAAAAAAATGCCCTAAGTAAGATACTGGAAGAACATTGCTCTTCCATAGCCATGTGGTAATTTACCCAATATACTTAAATAAAGTACCTTTCAGAGGTTATCTATTTCAAATCCCACTATTAAAATTCTAAAATCAATCTTGAAAAAAAACTAATAGAGATCAATGTTAAGAGTGATAAATAAAGTTTACTTTTATGGGAGATATTCTCTTTTTTGAGCCTCCAAATAATATTTGAACATAAAATGTATTTACATAAGTAAATTTGATGTCTGAGTATTGAAATGAGTAAAGCAAAATTGGGTCTCAGAATCAACTCACTTAGTGTTATTGGCAAAAACAGGGACCACAGACCCAGAATTTAAAGGCAAAAATATTGTTTATATGGTCTACATTGCAAGAGTGAAAGGGGCGTGTGCTCACCAGTCAGAGACTGGGGACTACCTTGCCCTAGTTCTGTAACTCATCAAAATTCCAGGGTTTTTTTATATATAAGTAAGACTGAGAATTGCTTAGTGAGTGAGCACCAGCTGGGGAGGAACCTGAGGCGATTCGCAGAAGGAAGATGAGACCAGGAAACAGAATGGAAAGGAAGGTAGACCTTGCTGTGTTGGCAGACTTTCAAAAGCCTAAAAGGGTGCTGCCGACATGCAGGATTCAGGGTTGTCCATAACAGTTAAAATCTATAAATCCAAGGACATGAAGCATTGTAGGCCTTTTCATAAGTCACGGTGTTTGGGGTGGGAAAATTTAAGGATTGTTTTCTTAGTTCCAGTACTTAGATATTTAACTTTTTGAATATATTATACGAAGATAGGTAGGTAGTATACATATAGATACATAGGTAGGAAGGTAGGTAGATAGAAACGTAGGTAGGATGGATAGATAGAAAACTGATTACAGAAGGGCTCCTTTCTTCATGCACATCTTCTACCATTTCAAGTGTTAACACTCAGAGTCTTCTTGGGAAGTGAAAAGCCCTAATCACTTGCATGAATCTAAAGATTGTCTAGTTTTCTCTGGAAAATGGTGTCTGCATTATTAATACTATAGTTTAAGACATTTAAATTTTTCTGATTTGTAATTGGTGGAGAGGAAACTTTACAATTTTTCAAGAACATTGAAACAGTAATTTCTATTAAGTATAGCATTTTGCATACAGCATAAAGGCATTTTTAAAAGAATGAAACAATTTTTAATATTTCTATATATGAAGAGAATACTTTTCTTATGTTTTAGCATTTAATATTATACATTAAGTGCCAAAAGGAGCTCCCTCTATTGAAATATAAGAAGAATATTAAAATTTTTATTAGAGGGCTGTTACTTCTGCAGCAAACTATTGTTAGGTGATTTGGAATGGAGAAAAAATATGAAGAGAAAATACCAGTTAGAAGGTCTCCCTGTGATGAAATGAAGAGAAAGCAAGTATTTGATGAAAAACCTTCTATATCCTATAGTGGAGACAACGATATAAAGACGCAGAAACAGAAGATACTTCTGTTTGTTTTTGGTTTTTGTCAGTATCGTTGCCTTTCCTGTTCTTATTCTAGTACTCAAAGATCTCAGGGAGATTTTCACGTTTTATTTGAAGTAGAAATTTGTCGAAGCCTAAAGCATTTGAGACATATTTACAATTATGTTGACCTTAGAGTTTCATTATAATGTCACTGAAGCTATTTTGACAAGGTGATATTCCCATTTTTCAGTTTACTAAGTCTCACTTTCATATCATAACCAACCAATGTTTTCTATACTTAATATTTTGGGGGCATATTGCCCTTTTCAAAGTTTGTTCACAAATATTGCTTTACTTAAAAAAATATATTCCATTAGAGAAAGAGTTTGAACCTGAACTTGATATATATTAATATTCATCTTTAAAACATACAAGACAATTATCTTTTTGTATTATTTTAAATATATACTGATAAATAAAAATGTTCCATTCGCAAAAGGATATTGTCAATATTGTTATCCTGAAAGCAATGAGATAACCCTTGAATATCCTCTTTCCTCAGATAAATTTACAAAGAAAAATGAGAGTTACTGGTGTTATTACCCAAGGAGCCAAGAGGATTGGAAGCCCAGAATATATAAAATCCTATAAAATTGCCTATAGTAATGATGGAAAGACTTGGGCAATGTACAAAGTGAAAGGCACCAATGAAGACATGGTAAGAATGACTTAACATACTTAACTTAAAAATCAGATTCCATTAGTGATCTTTGATTACCAAATAAATAGGAAGTCTTCAGCAGAAGCTTTATGTTGTTAAAAATCAATTTATGATTTTTTAAAATTAGGCTGGTGGGTTGAATGGGGTAAGGAGATTTTCCAAGTTATAAATATACACCTGCTACCATTTAAGTCTTTCTCTGAACTTAATTGGTGGTCTTATAAACACTTTATTACAAGGTTAACAATATGTGCATGACAGTTGTTTTAATAATAGTCAGTTTTCAATTTCATTTTATTGCTTTGACAGATTAACACTTTATAATCAGATAACTACAGATCAAAATTATTGTTTGTAAAGAAAAATTATTATTTTAAAAGAAAAGCACCAAGTGATAGAAAATACGTATATCTTTATATATTTAATATTGGAAGAAAAATTTTGTTATTTAGTAGAACAAAATATTTTAGTAGTGTATTTTTTTATTGATTGATGAGAGAGAGAAACATCAATTTGTTGTTCCACTTATTTATACATTCATTGGTTGATTTTTGTATGTACCCTGGCCGGATATTGAACCCCACAACCTTGGCATATCGGGATGATACTTTTAACCAACTGAACTACCCAGTCAGGGCTATAGATTAAAACATTTTAGAGAAAATAAATATTTAATGTCTCCTTTGCCTTTCAATTTTTTATTATTTTTTCTTAAAATTTTTAATTTTAAAAGTATCATGACTGCAGCTCATCTCATTTAAAACCAAGTCATTAGACTAAACTTCAACAAATTATAAGTGATCTTTAAATTAGCTTCTTAAATGAATTTAAATAAAGTTATCTGGTTACCAGGTTATATAAAAAGTAAAATAAGAATGAGATTTAAAGGAATTAAAAATAACATATTTAACCCTTAATTTTTAAAGAGCTATAATATAGTTTTTCCCTGGAGATGTATGTATGTGTATATATATATATATACACACATATATATATATATAACCACCAGTCTCTTATCTAATGATCTGGGACTGACTGGCAAAGGAGTCAACTTAGGAATCAGACCCTAAAACACCATAAGTCTAATAACAGCATCAGGGAGACTGAGTCAACAGGAAGCACTAGGAGAGACTAGTTCTTGAAGAAAAGAAAAAAACAACTATAAATACTAAGTAGCAAAGTGGACAGACCAGATTAAGCTGAAAAACTTAAAGTGCCCATTTCTCAAAAAAAGAGAAACGCATTCCCCTGGCTCCGAAAGACTGGCCTTAAAATTGACAATACCCTCATAGATTATACCGTAGGCAACATTGGTTTGTAACATTAATTGGTATTTTAATTATAGGTTTTATGTGTTTGGCTGATGGCAAGGTGCTTCCTAAATGCTCCAGACTTCCACATTATTTAATCCAGTTTTGGAAAGATTATGTAGGGTAGGATATAAGATCAGTATATAAAAATAGGTGAAGGAGCTATTACAATTAACAATTATACTCTATATTATCTCTTTACACAGGTGTTTCGTGGAAATGTTGATAACAACACACCTTATGCTAACTCTTTCACTCCCCCCATAAAAGCTCAGTATGTAAGACTTTATCCCCAAGTTTGTCGAAGACACTGTACTTTGAGAATGGAACTTCTTGGATGTGAACTATCAGGTGAGTCTCATATTATCTATTTTAGTATTTTCTTTAAAGAAAAAAACAACACATTTGTATGTAATCTACTGCTAACCCGCAGTTTTTCAACACCCATAGATATTCACTCCTGTTACAGAATATCTAGGGAACGTGCTACAGAAGAGAACCAATGTAGAAGGAACAGTGCATTTCTTTGACTGGTCAATGCAAGTACATACAATAAATTCTTACTGGAAACTTTTGTTTATTTAAACGTCTTGTTGTTTTTAGTGGTAACTATGATTTATGTTTTGTCGCAAAAATTCAGTAAAAACTGGAATCTGCCTGACTTTGTAAATTGCAGTTACATTTAGGCTAAAAGGAATAGAAAAGCAAGCTTTTATCTTTGTCTATCTACTGTAAGAAGTTGGCTTGGAATTTTTTTTTAATGAAACATCTAAATTTATAATTCCTTCCAAGGAAATAATACTGCAATACTGAGATTGCTACTATAAATTCACTCCTGAATCATTCTTATCTACCATGCTGCTTACTGTACAGACAGTTGTTATCCAACTCAAAGGTAATCTATCAAAGGACTCAGAGTTAAATAATCTTGTCTTCCAGGAGCATCAGTATTAGATATAAGGATGAAGACTTAATGTATAGATCTCACACTGGTCCATTTCAATATAGCTAGATTCTGAACTAAGCAGAAAATCTTGTCTAGGCATTTCACTGTGTTGCTTTTTGGTGATGGTTCTTATAATTCTAGCATCAACCTTTACAAACTATCTTTGCCACTATAGCCTAAAATTATTTTGTTCTGTGTTTTAAAAAATAAAAATTCATGCTACACATTTTAGAATACCCTCTAAATATGAAAGACTTTTGTCACACTTACTATTTATCACACTACTATTTAGTTAAAAATAGTAGGACACATGCCCTCGCTGGGTAACTCAGCTGATTAGAGTACCGTCCCATACACCAAAAGGCTGCAGGTTCAATCGTGGGCAAGGCACCTACCTAGGTTTCAGCCTCTGTCCTCTGTCAGGGCACATACGGAGGCAACTGTTCGATGTTTCTCTCTCACATTGATGTTTTTCTCTCTTTCCCAACCCCCTTCCTCTCTTTCTAAAATCAATAAACGTATCCTTGAGTGAAGGTAAAAAAAAAATAAGAGCACACATCCCTGCAGTAGGACAACTGATAACTATTTATGCATTACGAGAGGCTGTATATTGGTTAAAATGTATACTTTATATTAATTTCTTTTCTTAGGTATATTTGTGATTCTGAGGAAAGGAATTATTTTTAAGCAAATAAAAGTTACTATTAAAAAACAACCAAACTTTAAATGAACCCATTACATTTAAAGGAATTAGAGACATTTAGCTGGATGAGTGAATCTGTTTTAAGAAATCCCATTTCATATTATATATGGGTGTCTGTTATGAAGCAGCCAACATATGGCTTTAGTACTATTAATTACCCTAACGGGGATGTTTTCCTTATTTTGGTAATTCAAATCGGCTTATTGACTACCAGTAAATCTCAGCAGAGTCGTTGCTGTACCGTGTTTATATTGCATGTCGCTATATCACCACAGGCCGGTGTCAACCCTGAGTCATTCATCATAAAGCAATCAAGAAGAAGCCACAGATGATGAGGTTTACTGCAAGCCCCTGTGGTTTTTAGTTGCTTAACATCACTTTCCGCAATTTTTCAGTCATTTGATTCATGAGGGTCAGTCTCTCGTACATGGCACAGTTATACTCCTAAGGTGTAAATATATTTCACTTTCAAGTTTGACAAGAGGTTACACCTGAAACTTTACAGATTTTATGTTCTCAGAAAGAAGCTATACCCATCTCCCAAACCCACAAATTGATTTTGAACTTGCATGCAGAGAATAATATCACTCGATGGATGCTTTTAACAATAAAAATAATCAATTTCATTGTTAATATTTCATTTTGTTCAGGTGCTGTCCATGCTGGTAAAAGAGTTAATTTATACGTATGAATCACATGGATGAGAAGGAAAATTTGTGAGGCAAATTTGAAGAGGTTAGCTATTACACTTGGACATACACAGGAATATAATTTACCAAACTACTTCCCACAATCCAGTGCAACACTATAAAGCCCAAGGCTGCCTTATTGTATTCAATAAACTGTTATAAGATCTCTCAGCCTGCTCGAAGATCAGCAGTTAATCTTTTCCCAGATACTTAAAAAGAAAGTCCCCTAAATTCTCTGAGAGATGATTTAAGATGTTTAGAATGAAATGGATCATGGCAATAATTAGGGGAAGAGTAGTCATTCATTCATTCTTTGAACAAATTAGTCAGCACTTCCTCTGGGCTAAGTACTAGACAACAGAATGGGTATGAAATGAATCCTATTACTAAGCAGAAATGGCCAAAGTAAAGACATTCCTTTCCTATGCAATCTTTGAAATACTGTGTTATATCACAAAAGCAAAAAGCAAACAAACCACCTTTCCTTTTCCCTTATATCTCTTCTGCAAATCCAGCTATATGCTGGCACTGTTTCTAAATACTTTATTAACTAATTTTTTAAAACACTTCCTTAAAGTCCTTTCTATTATTATCACTATTTTAAAGATGAAAAAACTGAGGTACTATGTGGTTAAACAATGGGTACAAGTCCACACAGGGGGACCAGTAGAGTTAGAGGCGATGGCACTGATTGGAGAAGTCTTTCTTTTATCTTGACTTTTTTGATGATCAAACTTAACCTTGTGTGTTCCTTGGCTAAAATGTAAGTTTTACATATGGAAGACTCAACCACTGGCTAATATGATCATAGAGTCATGATTTTATTACAGGCTTTGTGGATGAAATTTTGTCACAATTGCAATTAAAAATTGGGAATTCATGTGTACACACACACACACACTTTTTCAAGGACAGACAAGCCCAAATTTTGCACCATGTCGAACCTGAAAACTATGTGGCAGATTTGAGAATCTTCCCAAAATATTCAATACTAGAAGTTATTGAGTCTGACCAAAGTATAAGGATGTATAAAAAGACTTGTCCAGTAATGGCTTTTGCTAGAATTAGCTTACTTTCTTCTGTTATCTGTTCTTTTAAATCCTACACTTGCACAATGCCAGGCACATGGTATATACATTGAATAAATATTAGCTTCTCACTTTCCAGAAGAAACCATGTTGGTGCACTAAGAATAAGTGATAAAGGTTAACAGACATTTCTTGGAAAAGAAAATGTTGTCCAGTTTAGAATATACCATTAGAGCAGTTTGTGAAAATGACTTTGTACTGAAGGAATTTTCATTTGCAGTATTATGGAAACAAATAAAACCAGATATACTTTGTGAGAAAATGTTCCATTTTTAAAAACAGGATGAAACTGCTGAAACTAGGGAATAGTCATGAGGCTGTCATTAATGAGACAGGGGAGAGTGTTTCAGCATTGTTTTCATTTTGCAAAATCATCTATCGCAAGAAAGTAATTTGAATTCTGTCTTGTTTTCAATTTTTCCAAAATATATTCAGACAAAATAACCTGAATTGGCTATTTTGTTTTTCGATTTTGTTCCAGATTTATTTCTGATTATAGCCTTTTTTTTTTTTTTTTTTAATTTAGATACTCTGTCTTTGGAGGAATGAATAGCATTAGGCTTAATCTTCTCTTGCCTATCCAAAATGAAGACAGAAAACTTGCAGGGTGATAAATTCTTTTTCTCATGGAGCCTTCTCATTGTCTTTCAGGCTGTTCTGAGCCTCTGGGGATGAAATCAGGACACATACAAGACTATCAGATCACTGCCTCCAGCATCTTCAGAACTCTCAATATGGACATGTTCACTTGGGAGCCCAGGAAAGCTCGGCTGGACAAGCAGGGCAAAGTGAATGCCTGGACCTCCGGCCACAATGACCAGTCGCAATGGTTACAGGTAATATTTTCAAAAACTGTTTCGCCACCCACTGCACCTCTTCTTTAAAAAGATTTCCTGTTGGTTAGGTGAATGTTGGAATCATTAGCTTCATACTCATTTAAATGTGCCTCCCTCTTCTGCTTAACTAAATCGGTAAAACAAAAATTCCTATGAAGCCCTGCTTGTGTGCTGTTTTTCCTCCAACGCTGATTTGTAGATGCTACGTTGGATTGATGCAGCAGACTGCAGGAGATCACACTATGTATAGATCAATTTGATTGATTATGAGAGCATTTGCATTTTACCTCTCATCTATTCTAATGCTTCCAGTCAATATTGGTTTGAAAGCGTCACAGCAGGAATCTAAACCACCTTGAAATCATGCCACTGACCTGCAGATTGTTCCCGTAGAGTCATGAATCATGACTTATTAGCTCCTTCCCTGTGGTTGCTAAGCAATGGAGTAATGTGATTACATTCTCATAAGAGAGCGAGGTTATGGAAGGAAAGCAGAGACAGTGTTTTCTTCACTTGGCCCTATTTTCCCTATTCTCACAGTTAGAAATACTCACTTTTTTCTTTACTTTCCCCTAGCATTCTATCTGGAACCCTACTGACCTGGATCTTTATTGAACTCTTTCATTAACTACCATGCTTTATGGATCATCATGTGTGACTTTCTCCTTTTGCTATTCTATGACTTTCTGATTTTGAAATGTTTACCCTCCCAGAACCCAGTACTTGCTAAATTAACAAACACTTACTTGTGATACTCCTGTGAAGCATCACACAGCACAATAAACAGTGATGGCCCATGGATGAGCAACACCCTATTCATGCTCTTAAAACATCTCCCCCTTTGTAAACCATTCCCTTTATTAGGTTTGTGTGACACTGTGCGTTATTCGTTTTCTTGTGTCCTCCTGGCTGGTGCTCCCCAGAGTTCTCCGTATCACCCTTCCTCTGCCTAGTATCTTCCTTCGAACCTCACTTTCTCCAACACCACACACTCACATGAACTGATTGATAAGTATCGGTTATTTCAACTACTCTAAAATCACTCCAGTTCTCACCATCCCCACTGCCACTTTCATGCTCTAGGCTACAACCCTCTTTCACCTGGGTTTTTGCAGCTTTCCTGTTTCTGGTCCTGCTTTTTAAAACCCTGTTTCCCAAATTGTAACTGGTATGTGTGTTTTTTTCAAAATGCAAATATGATTTTCTTACTCCCTTGTCAATTGCTTCCTATCAGCCTCAGAATAAAGTACAGATTCTTTAATATAACCTAAAAACCTCTGTATGATTTGCCCCAATTGCTCTCTCACCACGCACTTCTAAATTCGCTTCAGTTTCTCAAACCCAACACTATTACTCTCTTCCCATCCCTTTATAAATGTTCTCTTCCTGGAGGAAAAGAACAGAAAGAGCACCTCTGCCCACAGCATTCCCAGCCTTTCATTGGTATAATCTTTCAGCGACAGTTTGGTTATACGTTCCTCTGGTGCATCCAAAGTAAGCCACCAACTCCACCCCCCACTAGATCTGGCTTAAGTTCTCTCCTCTATACTACAGTGTCGCCTGCATTTCTCTCGTAGCATTATCACGCTATATCGGAAATTGTGTTTTCATGCTTCATTGTTTGCTCCAGGAGGGATGGGACCTCATCTGTCTCTTTGACTTTCTCAACTTGTTCAGTACCTAACTAAATACCTGTCACAATACTTGACACATGGTCAGCATTCAATCAATATTTGTTGAATGAATGAATAGATAAATGCATAGTTCGAAGTGCAATTGAATTTATTGATTTGGGCCTGTACAGCACAGAATTTTGATTCCCAATTTAAGAGGCCAACTGCTAATATCCTGAAATTTTATAATATAATGTTAGAAAAAGGAATTAAAAGCTCATATTAAAGACCTGGCCTTTATAATACAGGAACAAAATTGTTATAATACATAGCCTTTATGAAGTTTGAAGTGCTTACATTGAAGAAACCATGAAGACATTTTTTTTTTCAATTTGTTAGAATTGAGTGGTAAAGTTAAACTTGTTCTTTGTTGCTGTATAATATTTTTTAATTGGGTATATTCCAGTCATACCTCAGATTAAGTATTATTTGCAAGTCATAAAGCCACGTGGCATAATTAAAAATATTTCACACTCTATAAGGAACTCTAACAGGCTGGTAGGCTCTAGAAATATCTACTGAAGGGATTGCCAATGACAAATTTCTTTAGAAAGTTAAAAATAAACAAATATTGTTAAAAGAATCAGGGTGTACTCTTCAATGCAAACCTCCATCCATCACTCTTTTTTTTTTAAGATGGCTTTTCAGCTGTCTTCTTAAAGTCACTAGCATGCTGAAATTGATTTATTCTGTTGGTGACAGATTTTCTATCAATTCAAGGACTAGTTCTTCCAGTATATGTCTACTTTTTGTCATGTCAAAACATATTCAGAATCTCCAAGGCAGGGTAAATTGACATCCTTACTTATAGATATTTTTTTATTTTTTGGCATCATGCAAGAAGACGCTCCAGAATTGTTACTATTTTTAGTGTTTTCTCATCAAGAGAATAGAATCTGTTCAACGGTACACTGCCATGGTTGTTAGTGTCTTTTTTGAAAATGAAGGTAATGTTTTTATAGATGTTGTGTAGGGTGATTTTTTTTTTAATTGTTGACTTAGAGTCAAATTTTTAATCCTTATTTATAAATTTTAGTTGTGTTTTTAACCTAAGATGCATCAATTCTAAGAAGTAGCTCTTCAGAAGAGAAACTGTATCTTTCATTTAAATTCCCCTTCATTATCAATCTTCTTTTATATACTAACTGTATATGTAACCCTCTACTGATGTGAGTTTTATTTCAGTTTAATAGGTGTTTCCAAAATTGATTCAATAGGTAATATCTGGAAATACAGTTGTTCTAAATTAAACCTCAAACTATTTTTAAGGAATTCTTATGTATTCAAATATCACTTTAACATTTTATTCTTATTATTCTAATGTTGCCTCCAGTTCCTTCTATAAGGTAAAAATATCAGAAGTTCTTAAGCAAGTGTTTTATTATTTTTCAGAAGTGATCTTACCTAACTGATTAGCAGCTTCTTTGAGCTACTGTTTATCATGAAATCATTATGCTATTGCTATGAAAACATGGCCAAAATGTGTTAAGTCCACAGGCAGCCCTAAATGAGAGGCATTTTTTCACACCTCTGAAAAAATGTTTCAACACTTTGATGTGTTTGATGTTCTCTAATATTTTGAGCAAGAAGCCCTACCAATGTGTTTTTCAAAAACATAGGGTTTGTTGTTGTTTTTTTGGGGGGGGGTTCCTTGGTGTGTGTGTTTTTTGTTGTTGTTAAATTACAATTTTAGCTTTTAAAAAAATCTTACACCTACCCTGAAAGATCATAAGCCAATCATTCCTGACTCATAGCTGGACATTTCTAACATATGGTTGGACTAAATTTTAATCCCTGTCTTAAAATAAAGTAACATTTAATTCACTGAGATCTTTTAGTAGCAGACTATTATCTTCTGTGATTGGTTTCTAAACAAAAGACCCAGAAATTTTGTAGGATTTTAAGGCTGATTAAATAAGGCAAATGACAGAACAGAGGAAGCACATAATTGGTACCCAGCAACAGGCAGCTTCCTTCTTTCTCTTTCCTGTGGCTTGTGAAACTCAGCAGAGGGTGATCTGACACCGCCAATTTTAACCAAGAATAAAGACTTACATATATATTCTTTGCTTCTTTCAATAGGGAATTTTCAATAAAACTATGAAAGATAAAGTAAGGTATTGTTAGACCAGTTGCAAACTGTGAGAAGTGTTGATTAATTACATCAATTTGCATTGGCAAACAAAATATTTTTAATTTTTTATATAGCTAACATTAGATTTTTCAAATTATTTACCTGAGAATAGTAATAATGTTATTAATAACTTAAAATGAATGTTATATCATTTGGCAATGTTCTCTACAGAAATAATACTCTTATTAGAATGGTTATGTGTTTTTATGTCCATGTTCAGTGGCTTTCAACACATTGAGTAAATTCCTTTTGTATTTATACTCATATTATACAAACTGATTAAAATTCAGCAGAAAATTGTGATGCTTAACGGCATTCTATCAGGGGTAGGTGCACTACTGATGATTATCTTATTGTGAAAAAATATTTTGGTATAATAGATGCAAGTAAACAATGAGCACTGTAAGAATTAACTTGAATTGATTAACAAGCTTTTAAAATATGTCTTATGATTAAAGACATTATAAATTATCTCACAGCGAATACACTATGTGTGTGTTCATTGCCTTACTGGTGGTAATTCACCCTCTACAATGGAATCTATCGAAAAGTTTTTCAGATTTCATAAAAGGAAGCATAATATAAGTGAAAATGTCACAATGTCACCTAGTAAATGACCTTTTGGTCTATTTCATGAAACAATTGCTAATTTGAAGTAGTCTGCATAGTATTTCATCCAAATTAGTAGAATTAATTGAGTTGTTAAAGTGCACATTTTAGTATTGACCTTTGTCAGTACTGCAGCTAACCCTTCACAACTTCGTTTCAATACTAATTTTGTGGAAATGTGCAAGAAAGCAATTGAATTTGAGTTTTCTAATTAAATAAGCCGTATTTAATTTAGTCCATTTTAGGTTTTTAAAAGGGTGTATTCTAGACATAAAATTCATAACTTTTTAAAACTCATTAACATCTCTTGCCCTCTGGACAATTTATTTACACTGGAGCTAAAGGAAAATTTTTCAAAGATCAAGGGACCTCTAGGCTGCTGGGAAACACTTGTCAATATGAAGGAATAGTCTGATTTTCAAGTCACTCTCCAAAATTTCAAATACAGTAAACAGTAAGCCTACATGAAGGGTTCAGTTATAAGGCAGAGGTGAAAGAAATCAAGTAATGAAAATTTATGTGTAATTGTGAAACAGTTTCCATCCTTCATAATGTTAATATATTTGGGAGTATATGAAATGAAT